TGATGAGTGCCAGATTAACCCTTTCCTGGCTCTTAAAGATGCTTTCCATAACATGCAGTCCTGACAGTGGGGAAGACTGGACAGTTCTCCAGGCTATGCTGGGATGAGGAGGATTCAGTAAATACCATCATAAAACAACACACTTGAAGGCTACCTTGACCTTTCGTCATCTGAGCTATGACAAAGATGATATCTGGGTCAGTGACTGCAAATTGACATTCATTTTGTTGTTCCCACCGACTATCACCATTTTCTTGCCACCTTGGGAGGTTGCTTTCTGAAGCAGAACCTTCTGTCATGCAACTGTCAGACAGTTAGTTATGGCCTCTGCTATGCAGGATGTCAGACCACATGAATCTGTGAAACTGTCTCTAGAACAGTCAACCTGACTATGCAGACCAGAGTCTCCTAAGTACTTTTGAGGCCAAATCATCAGAACCAATGTGACCAAATGTCTGATAAAGTTTTCAAACATTCTGCCACTTCTCAGACTGGCTAAAGGGGAAGACTGTATGTTGGGACAGGTGTATGATGTAAAATATTTTCATTTTTTTTAAAGAAAAAAAATGGGTACCAGCCTAGCAGTCCTAGAGACTAAAGTAATCTATAGGTCCGCATAACAAGGGCAGAAGCTGTCAGCTTCCTTACTAATGGGTCCCACTCCTTTTATTTACCTGCTTCATGGGGTGAGAGACTAGTTACTCCCTGTGCCCCTCCTTGCTAGGACTGCAGGCTAATGAACACCTGAACCAAGACCACAATATTGGAAAAGCACTTTGGAAATGGAAGAAAGGGTGAGGAAAGCCAAAGAGTATCACTGCCATATTGTGGTGTGGTGGTTCTCTTGGGTGAAGAGAGGGAGCTATCAGCTGTTAGGGGGGACCAAGGCTCTGTGGAGAATGGGAGTGGAAGTGAGCCATGTGAGTGGAGTGATAGGAGAAACATGGCATGAATAAAACTGAATGTAATAACTGTATTGGGTGATGATGCCTCTGAGGCCCTTGAGTTCTATTTTATCCTGTATCTCAGTTTTCTTATTACAGAAGGAAGTACTGTGATGCAGTGAGTTACAGCTGCCTGAGCCTACACCAGCCTAGCCCTGGCATCAATCAGAACAGCCTACCTGCTGTAAATGATGTGTGCTGCCATAGAGGAACAGAGCTTTGCTGTGCCCTGCCATCCCTCCAGCCTGGCTTTGCCCTTGACATGCCCCCTTCCTGGCACTGTCCTTTGCTTGAGAAATGAGAGGGTCATCTGACTTCCTTTGGATGTATGCTAGCAGAAAATTCCTCTCTGTAAGGGGAGCAATGAGTGTATTTCTTCTCTGATGTAACAGTTGTTTAGCCACATAGTCCTTATGGTGGCCAGCCATGCTGTTCACAGTGGCTATCAACAAGATAATGGTCATTATGATCTTCTCCACAAATCCAGGCCCCAGTCACCTGTGCTAAAGGCAAAACTCCATGGTTTCAGTAATATTTAATCTCTTGTGTCAGTGTAATCATGGGGAGAGACACCCCACTGATCAAATGGAAAAAAGGGGGTTAACTCTCTCTTTTGTTTTCTCTAAAGAGAGGAGACCACAAGTACATACCCTCAAGAGTGCAGGGATTTTTTCAGGAGTAATTCTAGGCCCCAACTGTAGTGACTGATGTCATTCTCCCAGGGCACTGTAGGAGGGCTCTGAAGACGTAAGGGGTTTTTTTTGTTTTGTTTTGTTTTTTACTAGGAGTGAGCCCTTCTCTGTAAGAAGGGGAAGTAGCAGTCTCTTCCATAAAACACTTAATATTAATTAGTCATCCTTTTGTTTATGGTTGTGGAGGGTCTTAGGCAAAGGGATGCCCTTTCCCAAACTTTCAGGTGCTGATTCTCTTCTGGCACCAGTTGTTTAATATTACTCTTCCACTGACTACATCAGTGACTCCAATGTGTAGGCAATCTTAGAACATGAGCCTGAGTTTACATCTCTGGCTATAATACAATGTGGTTAAAACTGAGGAGTTTATGGAAGAGTGGAGTATTTCCCATTACAGCCCATCCGCCCTTGTCTGACAGCAATAGCCACAAGACAAAGACAGTCGCACCTCTTCTACAGGGAACATGCTCCACCAGTGGCCACTTCCCTATTGCCTGAAATGAATCAAGTGCTTCAAACTTAAACAAGTGCTGTTCTAAAACACACTGAACTGCATCGCCTGACTGTTCAATTTAGTGACCACAGAAGGACAGTTTCATGGGGTTTAAACACCGAAGGGATCATCAGATCATCTTTTCTGACCTCCTGTATATCTCAAGCGTTACATTTCACCCAGGTACCCCTGGATTGAACCTAATACCTTGAGTCAGACCAAAGCATTTCAGTCTTTAGGGGTTACATGAGTGCGGAGGCTGCTCTGAAGTGCTGTAATTGCAGTGCATTGGAACAGACTCGATTATTTGATTAATTAATTATCCATTAATCAATTAATTAATTACTCAATCGCATAATGGCCATGCTCCAGCTAGCCTCTGCATCTCATGTATCAGTGTCCCCATGTTTCAAAATGGTGGTGGGGGCACTTTTTCTAATGCTTGCCAAACAGGCTTTAGATCAAGTGGCCCCACTGCCATTTTGAAGTGTGGGAATGGTGATACATGAGATGCTCCAGGCGCTTTAAATAGAGCGGCCCTTAAAGCCTTTCTGATTAAAGTGCTCACTCTCAGAGCATGTGTATAGATGCCCTAGAAGACTAAACTATTGTGTGCCATGGGCAGAAAACAGAGAAGACCAAGGAGCTACCAATTTCTAAGACACCTGCAATAGTGGGGAATTGATTAGGTAGAATATGCCCAGATGATCCCACCAGGAGAACCATGTTCCTTCCTGCTTCACCATTCTTGAGCGTTTCTTTTTACCACAAATGCTCTCTTTCAATTATTAAACAATTGGCACAAGCCTTGGTTCAGGAAAGCCCTGTGCCCTATTCAGAACAGCATTTAAAGCCGTACTGAAGTTCCATCAAACTACTGGGACTTAAGTATGTGTTTAAATTCCATCCTAAATTGAGGCCATAATTTCTCCCTTGTTGCGTGGTGATGAGCAGTCCTTGCAATACACTGAGAATGCTCACCTCTCATTGCATTAGGACTTAAAAGTGCTTTGCATCTCACTTTAAGTCAGTGCTTTGCAGTACCTGCTCTTTTTGTAATGGTTGTATTGTCTTAAAAATAATACTAAATAATGTACCAATAATTAATTTTTCCAGGATTTGTGTTCCTTGAGATAATTCATCTCTGAATAGGTATCCAGTACCCTAAAGATTAAATCCTGACCAATAAGGATTTTCCATCTTTGTGCCAAAGCTTCCAATCCATGAAGGTAGCTGAACAAAAGTAGGCAGAGTGATTTTCTAAAGCAGCAAGGAGATGTTAAGCTAATTACCAATAAGGTTGTAATTTTAATTCTTTTTAGCTCTTTCTACACTAGCTTTCTTTTTTTAAATACTATTCTTGATTCAAAACTTTAATTCTGGGCGTACATTTGGTGCCCAGATGGTGCAGGCACACGCAGAAGCCCATCACGCTGTCAGGGCAGGCGGATACATATGTAAATATTTTGCCTTTTTCTCTATAATATTTGGCTTTGTCTAATCTAATTGCTGTCAAAGGCAGAATGCTAAGAACACTTAAGAAAAGCAAACAATAAGGACCTCCAATGTTTGTGCTGCACTAACTTTGGAAGATGCTAACAGTCTGGGTTGTAACTAATAATTTTGTTGCATAATGCTATACTCACACTGTGAATTCATGGTGTGTTGTTTCATTTCGTGCCAAGTAATATTTTATGACCTAAGGCAGCTTAAAACCTACATTTCTAGAGGCATGAAAGCATATTTAACCCTTTGGAACTGGGAGGCAGGCCTCTTGACATCACCTGCCAACTTTTTCATTTGTTTTATGTATATATAGTTTATAGCTGTATTTATTATATTTAATGTATCATTTTATGTATTTTAATACATAAACACATCCATCATCTGCTATGTATCAAAGAAATAAGAGCTAGCTCCCTGTAGAAGACAGTGCATGACCAGTCAAACTGAAAATAATCTGCTTATTTCTTAAACACCAGATTGAAAGCCCATCAACATAAATAGAAACTTGACTACAGTGGGCTGTGACTTAGACCCTTATTGCTTAGCAAGATGTTCTGAAGAAACAAATGTTAGGGAGGGTGCTGGAGAAAGAGCTATAGGAAACCCTTCTGGCTTTGCAACCATCCTCACATCCCTGAACCAGCATAAGCCATCATTTATAGGAAGCAACCACACTCCTATGGGCATTCCTTTCATTGAGGGATACCTTAGGAGATTGAAATACAGAGTGGAAATTATTGTGGGGAGAGGGGAATGACTGAAGATGAGTATATAATGTCACCATTAAAACAAACAAAGTGGCATCGTAGACCTCTATCTTCTGCAGCCAGTATGGGACATTTCAGCCACAAAAAAAAGGGAGTGCTATACTAGTTCTTCCATCCATGTTTACATCTGAAGTTTGTCCTTTTTTGGTTGGCATGCATTGCTATGTCAATTTCTATAGCGTTCTATTCTGGTTCTACTATTCCCATAACAATGGTGTTTGTGTCCCTTCCAGAGGGGAGCTAAGTGATATGGCAAGTATCTGTCACAGGTGGTTCTCTTTTTTCCCTTTCTCTCTTCAGGGGAGAAAATCATGTGAAGATTGTTTTTCATAAAAAGTCTTATTTTACATTGGCTGCACTACATTTTTTCTTAACGAAGGAAAGATAAAAATGTGCTTTGTATAAGGCTAAGTGGGACAGATGTAAAGGGGCCAAAGACAGACCTAGCAACCCTGGATTCAGTGGAGTGATGTGAGGAATAAATTTGTATCTAAATGTTTGTTGTCTGGCAGCAGAGCTCAGTTTGGAACATGCTTAGGAGGTCACGTTGCTGTTGGGTAACAATATTTCATTGCTTTTTCCTTTTTGCCTTTTCCAGGAGCAATTGATCAGTGCACATATATCAAGTACCACTACTCCTCAGCAACAATTCCCAAGAACCTCACCTACAACATCACCAAGACGATCCGCCAGGACGAGTGGCACGCCCTTCGTAAGTGTTTCAAGCTGCCTTCTTCCTTTCTCCTTGTGCTCAGACAAAAGGGGGTGGCAAGCAGTAAACATGAACTGGATTTTTACAGACTACCGTGACAGAGGCCTTTGCTCATGTGCAGGTAGATTGATTTGCTGCACATATCCCTGGCTCTGTATATTTCTATCACTGACTAGAAATTCTGCATCAGCATGAAAATGTGTGTGGGGGGAAGGTTAAACATTCATACACAGAGATTAATATTGAATTAAATATGACGATGAATAACAAAATCAATGCTGTAATTTCTAATTCAATAAAATCTTCTGCATTTGAATATTTCTCCATGCATTTCATGCTGCAGCAGCATTTCAGGCTTCCAGCAGAATTTAGAAGATGTCCATAGCAGAAAGTTCTGGGTTTTGCAACTCCTGAGAGTAATAAGAGGAATGCTGCTCCTTACAGACTCAGGGATGGATTTTGGCTTCTGCTGATAATTGTGGCCACTGGCCACCAACTTGTAGCAGTTGCCAAAGCAATAAAAAATGACAGGGATGGAGTTGTCTTGACATGCACAGCTGGCCTTAGAGATTTTCTTCCTTATGGCCTTGGCAGCGGAAAAGGATTTTCTCTGACAAAATGAAAGTGTTAGGATTTCAAATGAGAGGGAAGATGGCAGAAGAGAGGGTTTTGGGAAGGACTGACCTACCCCTAGAGGACATTGGATGTCCTTCACTCTTCTGCCTCTGTGAAAGCAGCAAGCAGCTGTTTGAAATTAACAGGGAGCAGAAGTGATGGATGATGACTTTGGGGTGAGATTCTGAAAGGGACTGAGTCCCCACGACTCATGTTGGAGTCAACTGATGAGAAACAAGTGAGGCCCCTGGCAGTCTTACAAATGGAAGCCCCTTCCACAGTGGCACAGATGTCGCTGTTATTTTTTATTGCTCTTCATAGCCTTAGGGAGGGCACAGCTCAGTGAAACAGTTTGTTTCTCATGTTCCTAAGGCCAGACCTTGTCTGAGATTTTGGTCAGTGATGCTTCAGGGTCCAGACAGTCAAGTCTGGACAAATATTAAGGAAATTCTTGAGGGCCTTCCTTACTGAATTTCTCATCCTCTTTAAAAGCTGCTAACAGTATTGTCAAATATGTATATTGGTGGGAATGGGTGCTTCTGAATGAACTTATTAAATTCAATTTGCTAAGTGAAAGAAAGTATGAACCCATTCCCTTGCAACCCTTCTGCTCCAGATAAAGCAGTAGGAGTCAATCCTGCAAAGTACTGAGTTGCTCTCAGTGCCCCTTAAATCGAGGATGCTCAGCACTTCTCAGGTTTTGGATTCTGAACAGGTTACCAACTTTTACCTTTAAAAGGCGCAGAGTGTCTTTGTTACTATAACTTTGTTCATCTGTAAAAAAACAGTTGTAAAACTGGGTTTCAGGTGATCATAAGACAAGTGTGTTGGGCTGTGTGTTTTGTGCTTTGGAGGTTCCCTTTCCCTCTCTTTTGAGCAATAATGGCTGTTTAATGTCATCACTCCCTGCGCATCTTACTAATTAATGAAGGAATTCCTGTCTGGCTTTTTTTCTTTACAGAACATGTATCTTTTAATAAGCAGTGTTTTGCATTATTGGATGTTGCAAGAGCATACATGGATTTTATTTTGATTTAAGTGTAATTGCTGCCATGTTCGGCCTTGTTGGTCCCTTAGCATGTTTCTCCCCCTCCTCCTCCTAGTGCTGAGCTCTGCGGGGGAAATGCAAAGTGTCAGCAGCTGACTGCAATCTTTAGTAGCACATTCTGCAGTCTCTGAAGTGGCAGTCTAGACACAGTGTGCTCACACATTTACATATCTGATTTGGTCCATGGTGCTTTTGGGGTGAGGCTGTTGTTTATTTCCTCACTGTGGAAGGTGCAGGGAGTATGTAGGTGTGCACACATATTTCTGACCTAGATTTTCCTGCTTCTTCATGAGTCAGATGAGTGTAGGTAGGTTGTTGTATAAGACAGAGATGTGATTTGGTCCATCTTTACAAAGGCAAGTTTGGAGAGAAACACCCAGACAATGCTATGTTTTCTGTATGTCAGCTGGCCTTGTGCTGTCTCTTTAGATTGCCAAGTATTGGATTTGTGGGGTTTAGCCACTGTAGTCTGACATGTGTGCTTAAAAATTAACTCATGCCACACTTATATTTACTATTTTAAGTTAGATGTGATTTGTGTGCCAACTTTTAGTTTCAAAGGATGGTAGTGGATAAGGCTAGCTTCATTAGCAATCTTCTGTCTGTTCTAGATGGTCTTAATTTCAGAGGACTTCATGATAAGGTTTCATGCACAGACCTTCCTACCCATCCTCCTCACCCATGGACAGTGGGTTGTACACCTTATTTCATCCACATCACCACCTCCAGTTGTGGGCTGGGCTATAGTCCAGCTGCTGAGGATATTTCTGGACATTTTTCATTTTAATAGATCCACTTCTCTCAACCCAGCTGGAATCACTCAA